TAGTAAACTTAACTGAAAATTTGACGGAACCATCATTTAAGAAAAACAAAAGGATGCTCTCACGGGCTCTTGGCCCCATTGCACTTGGACAAGGCAAACATCCCTTATACCTTGATCTATTGTCGGAGTGAGTTCTTCTCCCTACGATACTTTTTGTAGACGCATTTTACATTAATTGTGTGTGTTTGGCGTATCACAGCGAAATATCTCCTGCCCCAGGTCCGTAGCTAGTAAATGAAGCTGACTATTCCGCCCGCGTATGGGTAATTTACCTGCTTCATTCCAAAATAGTTTTGTCCTTGCCAGCAATACTATCTGCCTATACCACCAGCTGTTGCGATTGGTGGGGCCCAAGGCAGAGCGGGACAGATGAGTTCCGTTTGCGGTCGGGTGAACGTTAATTAGCTATTTTCTCCCGTTTGTTGATTGGAAGACGTCCTTTGGAAACCTGAAGGTTATTGAGCTACCCTAATCGGCTGTTGATATCTCAAGCAACGACTTCTGAGTTTGCAACCTGCTCGTAACAGTCTTTTTTAACAATTTGGCCGTCACAATCCAAACTTGGGCCGCTGCTTCTGCAGGCTTGAATGTATCTGGTTTTAACACTGGTTTTTATTGTTTTACAGTATAACTGATGGCCTCTAGCCTGTATGAGGGTTTGGAGGATGTGGAGCTGGAGAAGGCGAATCATCGCGGTGCCAGCAGCAACGCTCCCTGGATGATCGGACACGCAAACGGTAACTCCACATCACCCCTGACAGGCTCCACTGGTATTGGTCGGCTTGTTGCCTCGGCAACTGGCTCCACTGGAGCCTCATCTGAAAGTACAACCGGGTATTTGTTGTAACCTGCTTGCTGATTGTCTGTGTTTCATGCACCTGTCTAAATCTGGCCTAAACTCCTTTTTTGGGCCGCCTAAATATCTATTCTCCCCGTCCAACTGTCTTGCAGGCTTGGTTGATTAACGAGTGTAAATGAATATTTAAACGTGTGGAAAGTGATCAGAGAATATTAAATCAAAGTCACTTATAAGTGTTTTAATGAGCTAAATATAACCACCTCTATCAACATAAACTCCTGTTCCTCAGACAACTGATACCTGTGGATAGAAATTCGACGTTATATTGACGGAATTTAACGAAAAGAAGGAAATTCGAGCTACTGAAGATCTAAGAGTAGTTATGTATTATAAATCAAAGACAAATAGGACGCCTAATGACAGTCCTACCTAAATCTTAAATCAGACTGTTGTGTGGGATCTTCAACTGCGATAGTTCAATCATCGTTCCGAAGTGGCTGAGCGTGTGCTCTATATCAGGGTTGGTGCAGGGGCGGTGACGTGCGCTTGGATTATTCTTAAGTGAGAGTAGACATGTGCTACATCTACCGCATTCTTTCCTCACTCGCCCACCTGTGCCGAGACGGATACAAGAAGACCGGAGGCGGGGGCGGGTGGCTGGCGCAACCTGAGTGTGCACCTAAGTGTCCCATCACGTCCTCGCCCATGTGCTCTTTTACTATGGGAGCGAATTCCGAAAAGCGCCTGCTGTGTCCGGGCCCAGCGAATCTACAAGTTGGTCCGTCTAGGGTGGCAAAATCAATCTCATACCAGACAGTAATGTATGCAGGACCCGTAGATCGACGGCTAAGTGTTGGACAGTTAATCGAACACAACTCAAAGTGGTGTACTATGGTCTAGTTGTCGACTTCGGGCTGATCGCTTTTCGTTTGCTGTCTCGGCTGTCTAGCTGCATGTGTTCTGCTTCACTCGCTCGATAGGGGAAGTGGAGCGACTTCGTTCTCTGTGGCTGTCTGCGCTTTTCTTCAGTTCTGTGTGGCCGTCTTGCCCTGGGCTCTGAGTACCTAATGACGCAAGACTTTGTAAGTTGCAAGAAACTCAATGTGACGCTTAATGGAGTAGACTGCTTAGCGAACAGCAGTTTACTGGTTTAAGCCATTGATAACTCCTAATGGTCAGTCTTTTGGGTGGTACAGAGTCATTCGTCCAAGATGTACGTGTTCGTCTTGGA